TACGCCCACTAGTAGCACACCTGCTTCTTAATGTATATATATTACTTGTTAGAGGTACGACTAAAATTATACTTGTCCCTTTTTGGGTTTATCGCTTAAATGTACACCATCTACCTGACACATGACGCTAAGAAGCCTTATTGATATGTGGGGTTTTACATACACTAACAAAAACGCAACAAAATTCGAAAGATATTAAAAAGTTATATGCATTTGATTCTTAAAAATAATTTAAACTTCTAATAATATAAGTTGATCCTTCGTTATGTTTAGCAAATGAGGTCACATACCGCAACCTAACTGAAGGATTTCAAGTATTTTCCTTACTCTACGGACAATGATATCATACACATGTCATTGTTTCCTCTGCAAGCAACTACGTGACATGATGTAAAATGCAATGCTTATTTATTATTATATTAGAACATCTGCCTTTACCAACTTAATATTATTATATGCTTTGAAAAAAGGCTCTCAATTTGTCGTCAAACGTCGTATATTAAATTTCCTCACTAGTAAGATTGTGAAGGTTTCAAGAGATAAATACCTGAAGTCTGTAACAAACAGTACTTAACATTGTAGACATTGGCTATAGGTAAAATAACCCAACAAACAGGTCAATGCTAGATGACAGGTATTAGAGAAGAACAATGGAACTCATTATCGGGTGGCTGTAAATAAAAACTTATTTATGGTAGTTACTACTGATAATTGCATTTAGTAAAATAACTTCCAAACGGGTCAGCAGTCGGTGATGAAATAATTGTTTTTTACTTCATGCCTTCCTATAATTAAAAATTTTACTTAAAAAAATTACTCATAAAAATCCTAAACAATCGCATTTCAAAGTAGTGTGTAAGCAGGGATTGTGGTCGATATGGACCAAAGTGGTCGATATGGACCCCTTGGAGTCGAAATCGGTTTCCAAGGGGTCGACATAAACGAAAACGAATTCTGGGGGTCGACGAGGTCTAAAAATTGACCCCTATTAATTAACACGAGTTCTTTTTTAATTAATTTGAAACTTTCAAGCTACTGTATTAGCTGTGTTACGTATACCAACTTGTCACAAGTATAACTAATGTTTTAAGGAAGTATCATTGTTGTACTTCAAAAAAACTCTAAACTACTCACAACTCTAAACAATACAACTCTAAAACTAATCACTTCATTTTCGAAAAGGGGTCTTTTGCCTAAAATAGTTTGGGCATTCCTGGTGTAAAGGATACACGGTTTCTTGAGGGTATACGGGACAAACGAGCAGACGGATCACCTGCAACTCGAGATTTACAAGTGCGTTGCCGCCTTTAGTGTAAAGAATCAGCGGGTGGGCTCAGCAGTGCTATTCTCTAAGGCTCTAAGCAAACGCGAAACGCAGTGACAGCGCTGTAGCGTCGAATTTCAAAAGAACTTATTTTGAAGTTTAACGCTGTGCCAGCGCTGTACGCAAGCCTGTTTCGTTAGAGAATGGCACTGCTGATAATTTCACTCACTCGGTGAAAAACAAAGAAAGAATTGCTTAACACCGGTTTCTGAACGAATGGGAGCGAGACCGAAAAATGGGTGGGTTTTTTCCGACACTTCATTATTATATTTTATTTATAAATATAAAGTTTGTATTCTAAGAAAAATAATAATATGGTTATGAATAAGTGTTTAAAAAAATTATTATATAGGTACATTTCATATTGGAGGTCCTCCTGACTGCCGAGGTAGGCCGCCGCGGGGTTTAGTGGGTAGACCGGTTCTCCGGGAGTCCCACACACGCCCTGCGTTTCCCCAACGGAGGGTATGGTGCGAAAAGCAGTCCCCGCGTTAAAAAAAAAAAAAAAAAAGGTACATTTCATATACATTACGTATAAGTAACCTTGCTTCTTATAAATAAATCATTACAATTTCTTTATTTTCATTTCTTGGTAGTAATTCTGCAGCTATTTTGACTTTCAATCAGATATACTTTTTTTTAAAATAAGTTAAAGAGACCTAAAGCAAATGGATACAGAATAAGAATTATTATGCACCGATCGCCCAAACTTTCTGTTTTAACGACGCACGCTTCCTTTTTATTAGGTCACACCGGAAAAAGGGGGATAACCCTCGACTTTATATATATTATGTTACACCTTTGAACCAAGACTAGCTTAGCAGTCATACGACTACTTTGTTTATCAAAAGTGAATTACCACTGACTACCACTTGGATAGTTAGCACTCCACCACTATGCGCTTTTCGAGGCACTTGTTGCCTAGCACTACCAACCTATGGAACGGGTTACCATCTGAAGTTTTTCGGGACCGATACGACCTTCAAGAAAAGAGAGGCAAAGAGGCCTTCTAAAAAGGCCGGCAACGCGCTTGTGACCTCATGGGCATTTACATCGGGTGATCCGTCTGCTCGTTTGCCCCCATTCCATTAAAAAAAACTACAAACTAAGCCGATTTAATTTTATAAACTTAGTCGGTCTTGGTCGATAAAGGCTCTAAACCAACGCAAGTGAATATAAACAAAGGGCTATAGTGTGTGTTTTGGTTTAGGAGCGTAGCATAGGAAGTACATACATATATATAATATTGTTTTCATTTCGATTAGGAGCTCATGGCTGAGAAAGAAGTAGCACAGCAATAAAAAACAATATACCTTTGGATTGTGATCTCTTTAAAGTTATATTGTTTTAATAAGTTTAGCGACAACAATGCGTCGCACAGTCCATGTCCCAATCTGTTTTGTCCTCGAACACGACATCTTTGTAAATAATACATTATTTACATGAGACAATTTGAACAATTCTAAAAATACTTTATTGTGTCACCAAGGTTTCATATAGATGTTTACTCAAGACGATATCTGGGCGAACAGCCGCTGTACCACGGAAGAGACATCGGAAGCGACAAAAAACCAGCCGTTAACGTGTATGGAGTGATCGATCGCCGCCCGTGTGCTTTGCCGTCTGTACTTCCGAGACACGAGGACCCTCGGTTATAATCTGATACCATAGCCCAATGCAAAAAGTCCTTTGCAACATGAGGTAAATCAGTAACAAAATATTAATGACAATAGTGCTCTACCGACGAGTATTCCTGTTTTTTTATTTGACCATATTTTCTGCTACAACTTACAATTTACTTGTAAAAAATCTGGGATACATGGTCCAGTGCGATGCAGTGAGTGCCGCTATGCTTTATCACATTTTTTTATTATTGTAAGGTACTTAATAAGTTTTCATTATTGATCTATATTTCGGACAGCTTTTGTTCCGCCCTCTTAAATTTCGGTAAGTTATCACGAAAATGGCAACCTACATCAGCTCATAAATATCATATCATATCATTGAGAAATGTGATTTGAAAACTTTTATTGGTACTTTTACATTTGTAATTTAGTGCAATTATAATGGGGGTCGGAAAGTCCAAATTTCAACCACTTTATCGAACCAACGTCTATTGTTTATCGGCATGGATTTCAACCTTCACATATCTCCAAAAATTTGTGTGACATCACGATTGTTAAGTTGTTTATCACTGATCTATTATAAGAATCACAAGAATATATCCCGCAATAATTAACAGATTTTCCTTTGAAGTACGAGCGTTTCAACAATGTGCCACTCCAAAGTCAGCATTCGAGAAGTCCTGCATTGCAGCCATGCATGTTATTTTTAACCATTTTATTTTATTTTTAAACCAAACCTTTAAAACATCCCGTTACAAATGCACCTTAATATCTATGAGACTAAAAGTTACATTGTGTATTTAATGAAACTTATATTAGAGAATGGGCTGAACGTTAGCAATGAAATAAGGGTGTTTACGAAAATAGGTCAGCGGGAACATTTATCGAACGGTAGGAACTAATGTCTTTAGAACATGGCACAGCCACACAAAAACGAATGCTTTTAGAATATCAATAAAATTTGATATGAAACAGAAGTTAAAATTATGACTCGGATTAAGAGAAAGTTAAAAATAGAATATTATGTAATATTCAATTTTAAACTTTCTCGTTATTACAGACTGGGGTTTAACTAACAAGGCTAAACTGCAGAACTTGAAGCTTTAAAAAGTCTATAAAAAAAATGTCGCTTTATATTTCTTAAACGTACATTGCCTAAGGAGTCCCGATAATAGTATTGTATTCTTAATGGTAGCCTTCGCTGTCGGAATTCATACTTTTTCTCTCAGCCCAGGAAATACTCTAAAATATACTGAGGCTTTCGCGATTTCTTCCAAGGAAAATTTTTGGTATAAGACCTCACCTGAAGCTGTTAAATTGTCAATGGCCAAAAAAGCCCGTGGTCTAAGACTGGTATATTTATGGCTTGGCATGAACATACATAGGTCTACGCCAAACCGAGTTCATTGACTCCAAACAAATCGAGAGACATTTAATCATAATTTTTTTGACAAAGGTAGTACAACCCCTATTAGATTAGGTAATAATGGATAATCCTTACATCACGCATGTATACTCTTTCGTAATTAATAAATCAATAACTTTTTTTACTCCAACTAACAACCAGTGTTAATATGTCCTTCACAAAAGCAGGTTGGTAGCTTAAATATTTAACAGTACGCGTAAAGAGTAGGGTAGTAGTAAAACTTGTCAGGTCTACGATCTGATAAATTTAAAATTGTAGCTGGATTCCTCATGAAAGATACAAACTCGCAGGTAATATAACTTAATAGTATAATATTTCCGACATTTGACACAACGCCATCTAGTTTCAAACTAAGCAGTGATTGTATTATGAAAACTAGATGTATTGATAGAATACTTATATACTTTTTTGTAAATACATACATATTATATATAGAAAACACCTAAACTCCGAAACAAATATTTGCATACAAACATTTGGACTGACCCTATACCTATACCCTAGTCGTGTCATGCCATTAAATAGTTTACACGTGAATACAGGATAAGGTAAAACGTCGAGCTATCATGTTTAAGTTAAGTATACTCGTATTTAGTATTTTATGAAAATAAAAGTGGAAACTCACTCGACGGATGAAACTTGGAGACGTCTGTGCCGCATTTCTCCCTGTTGTAAAGCAGCAACTTGCAAACGCGCCATGGTCCAAAGTACCCCCTGTCGAAGTTCCGGTTCTCAACTGCAAATAAATAAATATTTATGGTCATTCGTTGTTTACAAATACATTGTACGATACGCTTACGTCATGCTCTAACTTCGACGAACCTAGCTAGTGTTAGTTACGTAAAGCTGTTTGAGATGCGGCTTGTAGATTCTATTGATCTGTTACATGCACAGTCAATTAACATATACACTCCATTATAGAATTGAAGACCGACAGAATACAACAAACGTAAATGAGCTCTTATCGTATCAGTCTCAATTGTGTATTCGTCTATTCACAAATTATTGTCACGCGGTTTATGGCTTAATCACTGATCTGTCGTAAAAGTTGTTAGACATGTTGATAAATGTTAAGAAAGTAACATCCAGGTGCCAACGAAACGATAGAAAGTAGCAAAATTATGTTGATTAATGATCTAAATAATGTTATTTATTTATTATTTCCTTCAATAAAGAATCGCGGTACGGACGCCTAAATGGTCAACATCAATTGTTCGAATTAGCTATTACTTTTTTATGATCCAATATGGAAAAATATCATGAAATGGATTAATATTGATTACTCGTAAAAAGTAGCAGGTCAAGGAGAAACTCAGTGGCGAGTATATAATATCTTATGCACATTCATACATATACCAAGTGATGACGTAAGCTAAAAAATATTTTGATTATTAAAACCACCTACACCAACACAAACTTAAACAAGCCAGTGTGACATAACAATACCCGAATAAAGTAAACAGGTTTGCTTCAACTAGCGATGAACTGAACAACTTTAGTAAAACTTAACAAAATTGAGAGGCTTAATAGATGAAGACTTGCGAATCTTTACACGTGAGTTGAGGATGTGACGCGGCGGTTAGTATTTTATTAGCAGTTATGTTAATATGTCAGCTAATTCTGCGACAAGGTCGTCGTTAGCCTCTGTACAGATAGCTAAATATTAGAAAAGTATACGACAATATACAGTTTCTTAATGTAAGATATTTAGGGAAGGTCCCCACATCGAAGGCCGACGACTCGCTAAGAAAAGCACAGAGGGCCTCATCACGATTTCCTAGCAGAATGCTAATTGAATTCGTAAGGTGTTGCAAATTGAGCGCCAAGCTAATCGTATAGCGACGTTTATCTGTACTTCCTTCTTTCTTTCCTTAAAATAACAACAGTCGAAACGAAAGTGTACGTCAAGGTAGCGTTCCATTGATTTTAATAGCTTGTAATGTTTAATTATTTATGTGGCTTCACCAATTACACAACTTATAAATGATGAAAGCTGTTTATTTTAGGATTTTAATTTTTAATTTACACAGTTTGAACGTGTATAGAGGTTTATGATATTAGCTCTTTTAAGAAATATTGTACGCTATTGCTTTTAAAATGTACAAAGTTATAAGAATATCGAGACATGTAGAAATCAGAATATGAGCATCCGTATATGCACTCATTAACGATAGGTCATGAAGTCATAAGTCACCACGTCAATTGAGTTCACAGCGGTCGTCATTCACCTGGTTTTCGAGTCACTGGTGCACTTAAAAAGCTAGGAATAGTATTTGAGGCTAATGTTTTCTTTAAGTAGGAAAGTATGTCTCACAGTAAAACACGATTTTTGAGATAATATATACATATATATAGACGTCGAGGTTTAGATTCCTACCCAGGACAAATAAATATGTGATGAGTAGAATAAGCGGTGTAATTTATCTATAACATGTAGGTATGTGTCTAGAAATACGTAACACAGGCTCTGCCTAATTTGGGATAAGTCGGCCCCGCCGTGTGTTAGATGTGTCATTTGACGGGCCTGTTGGTCTAGTGGTTAGTGGCCCTGACTGCTAAGCCGGAGGTGGGTTCGATTCCCACCCAGGACAAATATTGTGTGATGAGCACGGTCATTTGTTTTGTCTGGGTGTAATTTATCTATAGTATGTATGTATTTAAAAATAGATAAGTATGTTTATCAGCAGTCTGGTTACCATAGTACAGGCTCTGCCTAGTTTGGGATCAGAGAGCCGTGTGTGAGATGTGTGAAGTTATTATTATTAGTACTAGTTCTATTAATTTTGATTTTTTTAAATTTCGTTGAGTTACTGCTTCAGCTTGCAGTTTCGTGGTAATATTGGGTAATATAGAATAACATTTGGCAATCAAGATATTGCTTAAGTCGAGTATTCACGCAGACAAATTTTCAGTCATTTCAGATTTGCCACGGATCGTTGGGGAGGGTCGAGAAGATTCAACTTGCGTATCGAAATGACACAACATTCTATTGAAGCTTCGATTTTATGTTTTTAAATTGCCAGAAGCTAATCAATAAACAACGGTTCTCGTTGAAGAAGTACTGTTCGGATCGAATTAAGATAAGGATTTATACTTAGCGTTAATGAGAAAGGTGATAGAATATGTTTAAAAAAAGACAGTTCATCTATCATAATCCACAACCTTTAAAAATACAATGCCAAATATAGGTCTTTCCTTAGAAAGGAGGTTTTGGTTCACTATGCTACGCATGTCAGACCGGTTTGTATGGGGTTTGTGTCAAGTTTTCTTTTGCAGTGCTGTTGCCCTGCGTAGTCAGCTCTCTTAAACGACTTTTATGACGCCCACGGGATGAATAAGAATGGCGATACTCCGTTTTCTTACGACAGAAATTGAGTTAAAATACGAAGTTTATATATGTATGTATCTGTATCTGTGTTCTGTCGCTCGTTTGAAGATAGTGGATGAAACGACATTTAAAGTGATTCGTGACTGCGGATACAATTTACAGCGGCTGCGTCGTGGCAGAATCTAACTGTGAACGTTAAAGAACTGCACTGAACAATAAGTCATAAACTGCAACGATAAATTTTACGATTCAGGTCAGTCCCGGTAAACTGATAGCCTACATTATTGAGTACATTATGATGCATTAGAACACACCTTATGAAATGAAATAAACAGAAAGAAAAATAAACCGGTCAGATACGAGTCGAACTCATGCGCCGAGGGTTCCGTACCTACCCAGATTTTACGTACATTTTCGCGAAAATTTGTAAGTACCAAAATTTATCTCCTTTAATTATTCCTTTATTTGTGCTATAAGACGTTTCTTTTTGCCAAATTTCATGATTCTAGGTAAACGGGAACTACAATATAGGTTTTCAACCCAAAACCTTAGCTTCGCTGTGACACATTGTGGTTGCATTGATGAGAAACAAGGAACAAAAGCGACGCGAAAAATAGATGTAAACCATCTTTGAAGCGACGGAATTCTGATGTTATGTTACTGAAAAATTTAAACGAAACACAACACACCAGTACTGGATGATTGTTTTTCTGAGATTTTTATTCGAGATGCTTTTGCAAGATGAATTTAATTTGCTACAAATATCGATCAAAGCAAGTTGAGTTGTTACTTTACGTTGAGGTATTACGTGTCAAAATTCCAGCTCAAGCTGTGTAGAACTTTTTGAAGCGTACACAAATCAACCTTATCTATCTTATTCTTATACAGCTGAAGAGTTCGTTAGTTTGAACGCGCTAATCTGAGGAACTACTGGTTCGAATTAAAAAAATATTTTAGTGTTAGATAGCCCATTTATCGGGGAACGCTACGACTAATAGGATGCTGTTACAAGAACGGGGAAAAATATTTCCTGTTGAGAGACACAGATGAAGATGCGCGGATCAACTAATATTTTTATATAGACAGGGGGCAAATGAGCAGACGGGACACCGGATGGTAGGTGACTATATTTAATCCATTAAGTGTTGTAGGTCGCTTCAGTCAATCAACAAAGCGATGGAATGTCTAAAGGCACACAAGAGTGCAGCTATTAAGTAAAATCGTAACCGAGATATACACAAAAGATAACGCATACGATCTGTATGAATAACAAGCGTGCCAGTTTTAACTACCTACTATGAAGACACATGCACAGTTTAATGGTGGAAAAGACAAATTCTGCGCCGCGAATCAACGTGATGTCCGACACGATGCGATTTATCGGAACAACGGACACAATGAACACCCAGACTCAGAACGACAATTTGTGGATCACACAAAGTTTTGTCCCATGTGGGGATCGAACCCACAACACTCAGCGTAGTAGGAAGCGGCGTGGCGACAGCTTAAACCACTACGCCATCCGTGCAGTCAATTGTTCGCAAATTTAACATTTATTTTTCCATAATCATCATCATCAATTCCAACAGCCTTTAATAGTCCACTGCTTACACTTTGGCGTACTATACCACGCTGGCCAGACGGGTTGGTACAGGGTTTGTATCAAATCCGGATGTCTTAGTAACAGCTGTTCCCGGATCCCTCCTATTACAGGCGCAGAGTGGCACACCGTGTGGTTTCAGTCGGTCCGAGTCCGACACACAACCCCGCCGCAAACCCCGGTGGCGTGACGGTCCGCGGGGATTTCCACACGTAAAAAAAAAAGGGTTTGTATCAAATCTTCCTTCTCTCTGCAGTGCTATTGTTCTGCGTACTTTGGGTTTTTACGACACCCACGGGATGAATAGGGGTGGTGACACTCCGTATTCTTAATCCGTCACAACACGGATCAACACAATACATACATTACATAATCACCACAAAAGGTTAATGTACCTATTGTATTATTATACATATTATTATTTGTCATAAGAGATGCTTTGATAAAATCATTTAAAGTACAAGAGAACTACCCTCACAGAAAAACATTGTGACGTGTATTGGAAAATTGAGTTACGACATCTTCGGATAACAATCGATTAATACATGCTGTCTAATGTAGTGAGATGTAAGGAACCAATTTAATTAACAAATGAGGTCTTGCACGAGAAAAGAAAATGCATAACTGTATAAATGCCAGACTTGACACTTCATTTAGCATCAATGTCATGGACAATGAAGATAGTAAGACTAATTTGCTAAACAGTATTATCTGTAGAAAAAAGTTAGGACCTTATCGTGCTGGCGTTTGTACCGAGGTCGTTGCCTGTCAGTTGTAAAAAAAAGCGATGCTGTCATGCTGGGCATTGATGGTTCGATACGAGCACACAAATCTTGAAAACAGTTACATTATTGTAGCTTACACGCAGCATTCGTTTTATCAACATTACTCGGCGCCATTCTTACTGTCATTTTTGTAGTTTGGTTGAAACGAAAGGAGTTAAATATTACGTTATTAATACTAAATAACAATTTAAAAAATATATGTAACAGTTTTCGTCATTATAATATTTGTGCTATGCAATTGTTTGATTTAATAGGGGCCGAGCATCAATGAAAAATGCTGCAAAAACGGGAAAATATTTTTCCTTATCAGAGACGCAGCCGAAGTTGCCAGGGTCAGCTAGTAAGAAAATAAAAACAAAACAAATACTAACAAAATAAACTTGAAACAAACCCTATACCAACCCGTCTGGCCATAGTGGTATACTCGTAGTAGGCCAAAAACTGATGAGATGTAAATAACACTATTAAATAAACTTATTTAAGGGAGCTTTTATAAATTACATCCGACAACCAAGCCAAAACTAACCTGATTGACTTCTATACAATTCCTATTCGTATTGGTAGAATTGCATTTAAAACTCTGTTATTATTTCGACACACATTGATTTCAAATTAAAAGCTATAATTTAAAGTAGAATAAGAAATACCGTTATGGACGGGCGTGAAATATGTCTGAAGCAATTTAATCTCGCTATTATACGGTAGGTATGGCATTTTAATCTTAGATCTATTAATCTAAAAGAATTGATACTTGATGGTTGATTTAAGAAAAAGAAACATTTTAAACATTTTTCGTGAGTATTTATTATAAAAACTTTTTGAATTTAATTTTATGTTGAAATCGTTAAAGTACCTGTGTGAGATCTGAACCAGAAACTTGAATCCGTGAGACTAAAAAGAAAGGATGTTTGTGGTTGTAAAATAAAACTACCTACGACAAGATTTTAGCTAACACGTCCGTCTCTCAGTGTTTGTATCTGAGAAGCCTTTTGAATGTAACAATGTAAAAGAGTTTCTTTGTTCAGTTTTACTTACACCAAGAATACGCTCATAATAATTATTAATGCAGTTCTCAAAATTAATTTACTAACAACAAAATAAAAATATGACATAGGTATAACGTAACAAGCAGAAGTCCACCACCCATCCTGCTCTATTAAAAAACTGTTTAAAAAGTTAGAATAAACGTAACATGCATACTGCATGATATTTAAAAAGAAACAACTCCATAACTACGACCGGTGGCACATCTCCCACAAGTTTTGTCACAAAGGTCTCGTAGGTCAATAACCCGTTTGGCGGGCGTGCCACATTTTTTAAATGCACAGTATACCTATAGAGGCGCAAGTAAACATCATGAACAGCCTACGAGTTGTAATAACTATAATAGCCTATCATTTAGTTTGAAATGCACAATACATATGACAGAAATAAATACATGAATTCTACTGTATTGTGTTATATTTGTTTTGTATTGCCTTCGTAAAATTAAAAAAAAAAACGTTTCAATATAATGAGATGGGGAGTTATAAGACGAAAGGCCAGTAAAGATAAGGAAAAAGAAATTTCAGTGCTTAATAGCAATTCTAAATGCTTATATTAATGGACGCTTCTGATACAATTTTCCCGCGAACAAGTTCGTGTTTCTATAGAGATTTGATTGATCTTATCTGATAAATAACTAAGGTATGTTAGAAAGGCAAAGGTAACAGTAGACGAAGGTATGAGCGCGGTTTGGCCCACTTTGTGCGTGTATAGGCTTGCGACTACTACTTCCGTTGAGCACTCTACGATAAAGAAATAACACATTAAAACACTACCTACTGTTTTATAATAGATTAACATTACAAAGGGGGGGGTTTTGTGGCAGAAATTCATTTTAACTAACTTATTCTGATTGAGAGAATCTTCCCTTTACAAGGGGGCATACATTTCCTACCTCCAGCAGTCAAACTTCAAAAAGTTCTATAGAATTATTTACTTTTAGAATGTATTATTTATCACAGGGCTTAAAGTCAATGTGTATGTAGGTTTTTTGTAATCAATTATTAATCATGGGAGATGCAATCCTTACTGGACTGATAGCGAAATAATTTTAGAGCTTCTAAATCTATTAGGAATAATAGTTAGGGCATGTTATTTAAGTATACATATATAAGTTTAGACAAATCTAGAGGTCCTTTGAACGTTAATTTGTCGTTAGATCGCTTGAAGGTTTATCAATATTCGCAGCCGCATTTCATGACTCCGTCCGTGAATTGCATGAACAATAAACTAGGTGCAAACTTTTTAATATATTGTGAAATGTGGAAACCTAATCACCCAATTAATTCAATTTAAATTAGTAATAAAAAATTGCTTGTTAAATATTTTAGTAACCAAACCATCACCAGGTTTAAGTGTATTAACAATTACTTACAATCATAGTATACAGGAGCGAGTTGTATCTCAGAGTCATCTGAAAGAATTAGTTCAGTTATCTAAGTGCAAAAGCAATTTTAGGCTTCTGAAACGTTGTGTACTTTAACCGCGGTGGTTTGTATGCAGACTAGAAAAAAAATTAACCTTAACTCTATGGATTCTTCAACAAATTACAGTTGAAACTTCGTCCTGGGTCGGCCGCAACTGAAACCACCGCGGTTAAAACTAATATGCTAGAAGTCTAAAACAATGTGATTTATTTCTTATTTACAGTACACCTTTCTAATAAATATAATAAACAGATATCTTAACAAATACTTTGTATTCCTTCGATGGAAGCATAAAAAATAACAATTTTTTTCGTTTCGTTTTCCTGTGCAAATAAACGCAACAAGTCGTGATGGAAGAAATTTTATTCTTTTTATTTAAGAAGTTTTTTGTATAAATAATTTCGAAATTTAAAAAGAGTAACTTCTGCATTAGGAAAATAACAAAGGTTGGACATGTGACACAGTTGTATTAAACCACTACGCTACCGGTGCTTGTGAGTTGTGACTCAGTTTCCGCATCCGTAATTTTTATACTAATAGAAATTGTTACTCTATATCAAATTAAGCAGTTATAAACGAAAAGGAAGTTTTAATACACTTTAGATTATAGATAACACAAGAGAGAAAACACCACACAAAACAAAAACAACTCACATCAAATGCAAGGAGTGTTTCATGCGAGTTGTTTCTTAGCATAGTAGACGACGATTACAATAATTACAGCATATTGGAAGTGTCAGACGGAGCATGCACGATACTAGAGACAGACAAGACCTCGAGGCAATTCGACTCCGTGACGACATACTAACGCCTCGAATACCTCTCCTCTCGGTTTATGCTTTAGTATCTTCGTCTTACTTCTCTAAACGACGGTATATGAAATTTATATTCTTTTGGACTGGATGAACTGATATTCTTTTGGAATTCTTCATTACTGAGGAATACATCGAAAAACAACATAGGTAACTACTTCCCTAAATATTTAGTTTTGGCTATTCCTCTTCTAATACTTGTTTAGTAACCGAGGGCAAATTAAATATTAAAAAAAAGACTTCTTTTATTCTGGTAATTTTGATATCGATGTCGATATTGATAAATAGGGAATATGCATGTATTTTTTTTATTTTTTTAAACGATTCTACTAGTTATTACATTACCAAAAATAAATATAACACATCCGAAATATAAACCGTTAAGCAAAAAAAAATTTATTAAAATCACTATCATTTTGGGGCAATTTGAACACGTCCATTTTGGCGCGCTTTTTTTGTGACGTCAGATTCCACTTTCAGACGAATTCGATGTCAACAACGGAGTGAAGTTCACAAAGTTTGTGAAAGTTAAAAAAGTGAGTGATAAAAATTAACTTATTACCATGGAAAAGCCAATAAAAACTTATTATAAATATTGTGCCGTTCCTTTGTGCCCAAATAATATCAAAACTGCACCTGACAAAGCGCAATTTTAAATATTCAGTCATTGTGTTGAGTCTTTCTACACGGGAATTTAATAATTTAACACTGAAAACGTATTAGTTGTTAACTTAAAATGAAACAAATAATCACCAGAAACCAAATATTACAAATACACACAACTTGTTGACACTCTTGACAGTGTAGGTTGACGTCACGTTTTATTCAACCAATAGCGTTGCGTTTTAGAAATTTGCGAGGGAATTTTAAAAAAGCCAATTTTTGATGATTAAATTTCACTATTAAATTATAATAAATTTCAAAAATAATTGTATGGGTATCTTTTTTTAGCAACAAAAATTACAAATAAAAATATTTTGTCCATTTCGGTGTCACGTGCATATTCCCTATTAAAAACCATGCGCCAAGAAATTCATCATAAATCACGTTTCACTTGATAAAGTCATCTTTGAAAGGGCGTAAGCAGTATTTTTACAGTGAGTTTGGTGTTAACGACTATCTCAGCATCTTATTATGACATCAATATCATCAACAGTCTCTAATAGTCCACTCACATACTCGTAGGCCTCTCCTTAGAAAGGATATTTTGGCCTTCTCTACCACGCTTGCCAGACGGGTTAGTATAGCGTTTGTTTCAAGTTATCCTTTTTCTTGCAGTGCCGTTGTCCTGCCTATCCTGGATGAATAGGGACGGTGGCAGTCCGTATTCTTAATCCGTCACCACATGCACAAGTTTAACTTATTAGTTATAATTTGAGATCTTCGACGCATGAATTCAAACTGAAATAGCCATGTGCTAAGTACAAATAGAGTTTAAAGGGATATGATTGCTTTCTAGACTTGTGTTTCTTCTTAAGGCCCAATACACCATTTAGAGGAAATGCTGTTTTGGTAATAAACAGATTCTAAATATGTGGGGACAAGCCAATAAACGCGCAAACGACGCTTGTCAATCGATTTTGATTGTCTTTGTTATATTACTCAACAGAACACTTAAAAATACAGCTGATTTAACGGGACAATGTCAAACTTATCATGAGAGTCATTATTTAGCATAAATGGGCTGGCTCGACCAGAGTGATACCGAGGGCCAAGTGCGAGTTTATTTCACTTCTACTCGATCTTCACGATGGCCGCGTCTGGCGCTACGATTGGCCCGCACTGAAAACTCCACCAAACGCAACTCTAAACGCCCTCGACGTCAAGAGCGAGTCATCTATACAAATAAATAAAATTAGAGTGTCTGTTTGTAATATTAAAATAACCGCTTTTTACTAAATGCATATGTATGTTTACACGGTACATATGCCAAAATAACATTTTTTTCAATAAAAATTGAAAAAAATGTCTGTCTGTCTGTCGGTTTGTTCCTTGTAATCTCTGGAACGGCTGGACCGATTTCGACGGGACTTTCACTGGCAGATATCTGATGACATAAGGAGTAACTTAGGCTACTCTTTTTAGACTAGCTTCGCCCCGCGGCGTTGCCCGCGGTTATAACAACAAACGCGGGTAACACCGCGGGTCTCAGCTAGTTATGAAATAAACTTGCACTCGGCCGTCTGGAGCCTAAAGCCCCTTGCCTCATATTCTGGGGGGACATACAGGAAGACTACTTCTTTACCCCTCTATACAATGTTAAAATGTGTACATGTTATCCAAAATTCGAATAGCAGAAATTTCAATAAACTTATATTAAAATAGCTAAAATACATCCAATTTTTTTTACGAATTATACGAGTATATCTATTAAATCTGCAAGTTTACATAGTTTACATTCTAAAACAATGTTTCATTCAGGCATCCATTTTTATTATTTGATTTAGGGAAAGAATACCTTTAAATGGTAATCATATTTAATAAATACATATATTTTAAAACAGGTTTTATTTGCTCATGTATCATAAATTTCTATTTATTACCTTACTAAATACTTGTTTCACTATCAAATGCAATTACATGATTTAGTGCAAGAATTAGGAATCATAAATAGAATAATCTTTACTTTCAATTATTTTTTTTTTAAGTTTAAAAAGATTTCATTTTAAATGAAAATGAAATTTAAGAATGTGGCACATTTAATAGCTACTATCACTAAAACCATTCATTAAGTATCTAATGTTACCTAAAGTGACTTGATCACTTCCTATATAGTTAGTAATGGTAATGAGTTTGTGATTAATCAACCTGTTACTAAAAACATATGAGTATGTGTGTGTGCTTCAACACAACATGCACAGACAGAATTAGTTTTACTAATTCCCACACTACTCACACAAAATATTGTAATTATTATAACTAATAGATGTACAGTAATTTTAAATAAGCTTTAAATAAGCAACCTTTAAATAAGCTTAAAGTGCACTTTTTGTTTATTACCACTATTTTGCATCTCAAGTTTGGTAATATATCAACTGTAGTTTCCATTTATTTCAAGTGCTCACCACTCAGTAGCAGCATTAGGCAATAGGAACATTTGGTTCCTACATTTTTTCCTTGTGTTAGCTTTAAGAGGAATAATTCTGTGATACACTGAGCAAATGCATCTCTAATGTTATTAATTATACACCTTAACAGTCAAAATATTACTACTACTTTCAAAATATTAGACATACTAACTTAACTAGTCTTTATTTTTGCTTTATTATATGTATATATAAATTACCTGTTCTACAGATTTTATACATATATTAAGAAAAATGAATTTCAAAGAATACACCACTAGGCACATAAACTTTGATGCAAATGTAATATTGATTGCAATATTCTTTGGTTGATAGTTACTTCACTAAAACATTATGATAAAGACCTCCTACACGATTGTCCATATGTACCTATATCTATGCTGTGAATAATGAAACAATCTGCCGTCAAACCTGTTTGTTTCCTTGCAGAAGTTGAATGGACTTATAATGTGTGACTTATTAATGTTAAATTTAAGGTATGGGCTTACACAAACATTTGCATCACACTTGATACTTACAACTATAGAATTCCCCCCATGTTGGCAGTCCTACTGCAATGGCACCAACTACAAAGCAAATGAAGCCCAATGCGACCACTGCTATGGAATACAGCACCTTGCCACTGGCCATGGCTGCATGACTCAGCCAACTTCATGGAATGTTCTAAACAGCATCAGGCTTTATGTGCAGTTATTCGATGATGTTGAGGTGTTGGTCGGCACATCTGTTTGAAAATAGGAACATGTTTAAAATGGATAGTTAGAGATTTAGTATTGAAATATATTATGGTTTTACCAATAAACAGTACCACATGGAAGATGCTCTTTTAGTTTTAAATTAATACAAAACACCAAATGCATAATACTATTTGTGGCAGGAAAATATGTAACATAGAGTGAAAAAACTTGCTTTTTAATATTTTTCAGTTTATATATTTTATAATTAAGCAAGTCAATAATTTATTCTTCTTCTGTCTTTAGTTGTTAATAGCTAGTGTGTTTAAAAGCACATCAAAAATTACTTAAACATTTTTACACAAAGATACTTGTTTATATTCCAACATATGCAGGTTAAATTTGAAGATATAATTGTGTAAGCAAGTAAGTATGCGAACCGGTCTGATTGATAGTAAGTCTATCCGCACAAAGGAATGTTTTGTTAATCATAACATTTAGTAGTGCCGCTCTTATTAGAATTTTTTCGTAACCATTTGCAATCTCATTTGAAATCACGTTACACACATCTTTTATCATGGTTAAATGAACCTTACAGTAAATATTTTAAACCTAAGGCTATAAACAGTTATATTAGCGTAACAACGTTTACCTTGCGAACTAGTCTTGCTAAAGCAATCACACGAAGATCACTCAACTATGCAATAGACAATCGATTACGATTGAAAAGCTATTCTGATTTAAAAACATCTCTTTTACACACACTAACTCATTGGAACAAAACACCTGTGTTTTTAAGTGAATGCATAAAAGTTTATTCACGAATTCAAAATTCGAACCACGACACACCTTTTTATTACTTTCAAGAGGGGACTTTCCAAAACTAAACTAAGAAGCTAAACGACACTTAGAACTTAGTAAAAACTGATAGAGCGGGCAGAAAAAATATATGCAGTTACACGAAAATATTTAAATAATTTTAATCTACGTGAGAAAATACGGATAACAAATTTTAGGTGCAACACCTAAACCGCGCGCACTGTAGACGTGATCGGTAAATAAACTGGTTTTTTGATTTCAATTTGAGCAGTATAGTAGAGGTTACGTTGCAACAACGGACTATAAGATAACTTTATAAAATGACTACTTACTCTTTCAAACATTATCATCCCAAGTTACACTTGCATTGTTTGAAAGGAGATAGAAATAGATAGTGTGTTTGTTTATATTACTTTCAGCTCTTGTTTTACACACTCCATGGGAAAATGTTTGTTATCATTTGTAAATTATATTTTATTTAGATTATATGTGTATGAGAAATTTATTTTATTTTTTTATTTTTTTAAATAACAAATCTTAAACATTTTATTTATACTTAAAAAGTCGTTTGACATTATACTTAAAAAATTGATTTGACATTGACAATTTTTAAACGATGTTTCTGAACGAAGCCATACGTTCCTTTATGCTTTTAGTCCATCTAGCTAATCTAAGAGGTACTGTTTGACGTTTCAGACTTTTCAACACGAAACAACTTTGTAAAGGCATAACTCACATAATTTCAATAACTTTTTTCGTAAAACCATGGAGTTATGTAGCTATTTTGACGCAATTCTCAATAACTTCATTTAAATTTAAATTTTTGAAACAAAGCAAAATAACCAATTTATACACAATAGATGATTTCTTTTCAAACTTCATTTCAAAGTCACGTAGTTCCTTCAGCATAGTGTTGCGGTTCTTCAAATTCACTTGAATACAAATAATCATTAAAATGTACAAAAAATCAAATTTATTGATGACGAGTAATTTTCAGTCCAGGCGTCTTAAAGTGTTTAATAATACTTAACATTTATATGACATCCAAATCTCAACGAAAACCATAATTAACATTAAAAGTATGTACGTTAATGTAATTTTAAATAAATCTTTATATGCTAAAATCGGTCGTGTCGCCTAGGGTAGAATTAGTTTTACATACATTTTACATAAATCTGTAAAACTGTAATCGATTAGTACATACTACAAAATGATATCGAAACCTCTTAAGAAACAAATACTTTAGTATTCAATTTCTTTGATCCTATCGCTATACTTCAATCTGTCAGAACTGTCTAACGGAAACGGAAACTTAGATTAGACGGACTATAAAATTTTTTTTATACTTTCTGGTTTAGAAATGATAATTAAAAATTACACTTTAAATACATTATACACACAACTTTGGAAGTAGATAGTACCTGTGAGTCCATGCGCGAGGTACATACACTATTGGTCGTCTTTCCTTATCTCGCTGGATCCATGCCATCTGTACTAGAATGTATTTACTGCAATCAAATATATCCAGAAACCACCTAATCAAGTCCTTGCTTATGTCACCTGACCCCACTTCCTCTAAAAATCTTTCCCCTTAGCTCTAAGAAGTTACAGTTCTTGCTTCGGTGACGTTCATAGTTTGGGCTCAAAGAAGGAATCTTTTAAAGCAGTGGGCATGGTCTGACACAAAGTCAGACCATGCCCACTGCTTTAAAAGATTTTAAGATTATAAGTCTTTCCCCTCCATCGCCATTTTTAAACGTACTGTTTAGATATGGCAAGAAGTTAATCAAAGGGATAGGTAGAGCATCGGCATCACCAGCAGGGAGGATCATTATAACAGGATCTCTAAGGCTTTATGAGTTGTTACAGTTCACGTTTAAAACGTGGCCTGTGGTACCTTACCCGTTTCCGGGCCTAGCGGACCGGTAGAGTTCTAACCTGGCCATCGGAGTGGTATCACTCAGGCGTTAGCTCCTTTTGGGCCGAACACAGGTGATCTCCGAAGAATCCTTTCCCGTTGATCACCTATGTCAGCCGGTATAAGAGATTCCCGCGTTGCCTCTCGAACCAATCCTCCATAATGGGTCTTACCGCCGCAATAATGGCGGTCCCGAAGCTTGGATTCCCAAGTCGTTCCTTCCACTCCTCGACGAGGACCTGGCGGGGTTGGGATATCTGATCCTCAAGTTCTCGAGTCTCAGGACTTCGACCCCTCCTTGCGCAACCGATACATCTAGAACGTGGAATCATGCGAAATGAATTTGGATCCAGAAAAGTGAATAGGACATGATTGATGTTCCACTACGTGACTACGTCAGGAAAGGTTGGTGGTGTTCAGAAAATTTTAAAAGAAATTTATCACAAAGCACTGGTTTTTACACTAGTCACAAATTGAAGTTAGTTGTAAATGACTTAAAATCAAATAGTAGTAACACGAAATGCTGACTGCACGGATGGCGTAGTGGTCTAAGCGGTCATTGTACTAAATATACAAATGCTCCGCGAAACCCGTTTGTCACAGAAATATAAGAGTATTGCTATTTTCAAGGAGCATTATGTTCAGGTGTTCAGGGCACTTTCAATGATGCCGAAAGACAGTAACAATGCTACCAGAAAATGTGCTTTTCAGTTACATTGCGCCACTACAAGTTTTGAATTAATTGTTAGTGTTTGCCTCATAGCAGGAAATTCTGCATTGTTGCACCAGTACTAAATTCTCAACAGTCGAACAGTATAGATTAGCTTCAATGTACAACACATTTAATAGAAAAACCGACACTGAGAAAAGCATCGCGAAACTGTCCATGTTCACGGCCAAACTACACTACTACTACTATGTTACATAGTCTTATATACGCGGGCTTGAAAGACGTGATGCACTCCTTCAATTTAAAGAGCTCTTTGACCATTTCGTAGAATTCCTAGAAGATATGGACACTTCTCCGGCATTGAAAAGTGCAACACTTCTTTTCAGCGATTCGACTTTGTCTAACCTTTAACGGTAACTACAGTTGTATTTGAAATTACTGTTTCACTTGCACGGCGACTTAATAGTGTTGCATTAGATCTTAACCTTTGCTATAATGTGGTAGAAAGTGTAATAAGAACACTGAAAAGGTACAGAGAATATTATTAAATTTTTCAAGAGGCGTGTCGTATTGTAGAACCTTTGGACATCACAGTGCAGGCACCCAGAACTATCAAACGTCCAACACCTCGCTCAAATATAAAAGTACTTACCTGATGCTAAGAAATATTACAGGTAAAAAAAACCTTTGATACATACACACGCTTTTTGTTTGATGCAACACATCTTTCGCTGTTATGTTCTTTCGATTTCGAAAGTAATGTCACATCGTGTTTCGGTTTAGATCCTTAGTTAGAGATGTATCCCTTTCGTACATCGACTTTGTGTTGGGACAGTTGAAGAGTCTCTTTTCGAGAGCAGAGCTCTCTTCAATTCTCGATCTGTACAGCCTGTTACCAAGTTCAACCAACCAAGCAACCAACCAACCAAGTGTACCAAGTTTTACAATAACGATTTCCCTCGTCCTATCTCGTTATCGGGAGAAACAACTCTTTGGAAGGAGCTTTGTAGTGACTGGAAACATCTCCCCAAATAGCAGCAGAGAAGCATCATTACCTACTAGTAACCACTTGTATTGTTTACTTCCCAAAAACTAATAAAATCGTACTCTGGCAGTTTTCAACCTAACGAAGTCATTAAAGAATTTGCGAAAAGTTATCCAAGGAGGCAGGAAACTGGTTATGCGTTATGAATATTTTTTTTAAATTGTTATTTCCTTAATAAAACCTACCCTCACCAGGGTCAAGCCACGCCCAAACTAAAATCCTGAATCCGCCACTGTCTGAGAGGTAGTGGTGTCTAGTATTGACGTATTAACTATATTCTTGGTAAAAACGAAATAGGAACTTGCTAACCTAAATTTCTTAATGCATACATAGGACCAATTGTATAAATAGCTCTACCTCAGAACCTTTTTCCCAAACTAGGTTGGGGTCGGCTTTTGACTCTACTATAAAACAGCTGAACTTTGATTTTTTACACGTAGCGACTGCCATCAGACCTCCATAACCTAAAGACTAGGCGATATCAAAGTTCTGTAGAAAGACTGTTGTCAAATTTTTTATTGCCCCAACTACCCGTAACGATTTCCACAGGTGTTCGTGCGGCAACCGATGCCGAAGGTTTAATGTGCTCTCAGAGGCACGGAGGAGACTAATTGTCTTAAGATTGGTCACCCATCCATAGACTGAGACATGGCTAGGATTGCTTAACTTTGCAATGTGTTAACCTACTTGGTTACCACTTAGCCACGATCCGCACACACTGGATAAATAACTCTATTAGTAGGAATGGTTACGGACCGAGGTCATCGTGGCTATTTCGGTACCAAGCAGAATAAAATCGGCTCGCGTTGTTCAACTGTATTTTACAATCATTTCGTAAATACATTTTAGTGTTGAATATATCAGTTTATATACTCTTCTCTGGATCAAGTAAATCACAGTCAATTGTGGTTTTATGATTGACTCCAATTTATCGAATGAATACCGGTGTCTGGCGGTTTTTGGGTCATAATTTGTAAATTTGTAGTGCATTTTAGTGATGTTGTGGATAAAATCGCGGACTATGAAGCAAAAAAGGTTGTGCAAGATACTGTTTGTGTTCCTTCTAGGATTTCCTTGCACCCGTAAGTTACTTTTTTTCTTAAAATATGTTATTCAAAACACTATGGATACAATTAAAAAGAAAATACAGCTTGCCGTGATAATTAAACAACTAATAATAGTTAAACTTTTAGGACCATCATGCCATTGGTTATTTTATAGGTAGTTTAGATTTTGGTCCCTGTATACTGAATATTATGTTTATGAAACTAATACAATAATTAATATGAAGTTCTTAAAAAGGAATAAAAAAATCCCTACAGGATCGCTTCGCTCGTTCGGCGTCTGTCAAGACATATTATGTTGAAATAAATATCAAATACTTACAGCCCCTTCAAGCTGTAAAACAATCAAGCTTTTAAATCAATGCAGTCAAAAAATACTGACATTTAAGCCTTATGTGTATTAGAACCACGAAGATTACAACCAATTTATAAAAACTTATGAACTAATTCTCAGTTGAATTTTTAATATTTGTCGAAGGAGGTTTAGCCTAGTAAGACTAATGAATAATGCGAATGTCATTAATTAATTGCTTTATAAATCTCATATAATTTTTGCAATTAAATTTTGATCTATGAAATTCACCGTCACGTATATCAATATAATAATATGCGGGAGTATTTTTAGAAAGGCAAAGTTAATTTTATTCTTCAAACCCACTCGATCTGTGTGACAAGTTAGTAAAGAAACCCTCGGTGCAAGAGTTCGCTTCATCTTTTACTGAATGTAGTAAAAGTAGAAAGGCTGCCATTTCGAAAAAAGATTCTTCTATCAACTGACCTATAAAAAACGCGCCCTTGGGGTTATTTCTTAACTAAAAATAAAGTCGGGAAAGAGATGTTGTATTGACGTCTGTAAAACCTGCCTCTTTTTTTTTAACAAGACGCGTATTGCTTTAGTGTTGGTACGGACGAATATTTTTGCTTCTCTAAAAAAAAGATAACTCCCGCATTACGAATACACCTGTGTCGCTGGAGACTTTACAAACATACATGAAACGGACACAATGAATACCCAGACAGACCTAGAACAATAATTTGTGGATCACCCAAAGTGTTATCAAATGTGGGGATCGAACCTACATGAATAATTAAATATGGCCATAGTCATAAATATATACGAAAAAATATACAATTTATTATCTGAGAAAAGTTGTCGTATTTGTGTCGTTTTAGTAACTTGTACCTCTTAGTATAATATAGTTTTGGTAAAGTAAAAGTAATTTCATTAGCCCTAGTAAATCATAAATCATTTACTTTGTGCAACCTTACAATATATATACTTATATATTTAATCGGGCGCAGCTAGAGTTGCTAGACTGTTGCAAAATTTTGGAACTTCATTTTCATCCCTTCATTATCCCTTTTAACTCTTATGATAGTTATTATTATGAATAGGGCAAATTATTTTCCAATAAAAATGTTTTCCGTTTGTAACAGATGCAGAAACGACTGAGGCGAGTGTCCCAGTAAGTATGTTTTTATTGACGTCATTCGACTATATCATCAACAGTGCTGCAGTGCATGTAACCAATTACTTATCTAAAACAATTTAATAAAAGTACTAACTATACTATGCACAAGAAATACTTTTGGACAGATCGATATTCCAGACAAAACAAGACGACCGGCACCTTAGCATCAACGTCACACAACTTCAAAAAACAAAAGAAATATTAGCGTAAGAAATGAACATTAATATGTATAAGTTTTTCTATTTCAGTGCTAAAGATTTTATAAAGGGTCTAAGGGACGTCGTAACGAATACTGAAATAGTGTATTTAGACTCATTCATTTCCCGTATGTATCGCACAAAAGTAAAAACTACATGTGTATTCCGAGCAAACAGTCTAAGAACACTAACACAAGTTGGCGGCCGGAGGGGAGGCCCCGCGTGCTTCGGCTGTTTGATTAATTACATTGTAGTTTTTGACCGTATTCGGTATTTATTAAATAAAATGTTCTATTTAATCATTGTGAAATAATTTTTATCATTTTAACTAAAAAAACCAGAATCATGGTCTACATATAATACACTATTTCAGTATTCGTTACACCCTGTATATATGTATATGTTTTCGTTCGTTTTGTTAGTTTTAATTAAGAACTCAAATTACATTATGATCACACATGTAATTATAAATTTCTATTTGCAGAACACCACAGCCTGTGATCCATTTTGCGGCTGTGATGGGTATGTTGCAATACTTTTCATAAAATTATCTTATTACAAGCTGGTCCGATATAAATGATTTATAACCATCGTTCATATCTTTTTATTTACCTTTCAGGTTATATGTTTACGATAGTGTAAAAAAAGGATGCGTTCTAGACTTGCCAAACCTAATGAAGAGAGTCGTAGTAAACTATGACAGCCAAAGTAAGTGCTTATAAAAAAACTAAACTCTGAACACTAAATAGGTACTTAGTGTTTAGAATTTAGTTTTTTTAAATACCTATACTTAAACAGATATGTAGGTAGATATTGACGGCCAGACGGCGTAGTGTTTTGTGTAACGGACTCCTACGCCACAGGTAGCTGGTTCTATTCCCGCTGAAGTGAAACATTTGTGCACATGAACATTTAATGTTTGATTATGGCTGGGTGTTTTATGTATAATATGTATTTTTTTTACAAAAAAGTGTACACAAAAACACAAATGTATTAATATCATTTAGTTGATGATTGGATGGCGTTGTGTGAATGTGGTAGAATTTTATATCATTAAATCATATCATACCATATCTGTGTACAAATGATGTGTTCAAGATGAACGAACATATAAAAGGTCACTCTATTCTAGTTGGTCTACTCACTAAATCAGAAGAATGGAAAATGTAAACTTTGAGATGCATTTATTGTGTAGAGCCTCACGGGTCATTATTTCAAAAGGTGTAAGAAAAAATTTTTGTTTGTAGGTGATGAGTTAATCAATCAAGAAGGAATGTCAAGTAAGTAAAACCAGTGTAGGCATGCCTATAACGGTGTGTAGGTACATAATTGTTTTAAAGCACATTTATACATTATTATTAGGACAAAGTCATTAAGTACTACCCAAATAAATCATTATTTACTTACAACTTTACAGCTTTTACTAAAAACATACATGTATTTTTTTGTGATAATAATTACATTTGTTCCGATTAACATTCTAAAAAGCTGGAATTATTTTCACGACGAAATATATAACACACATGATTATTCTTATAGGAGCGCAAAAAAGGGTGGTTTTTTTTTGTGATCTAAATATTTTTTTATCCCAAACATCATTTCTTTTTGAGGATTAAACTAAATTTACAAAGTCAGGAAAATTGAACTTTTGTCCTTAATGAAATTGTATAATTTTTCAAAAAACTCAAAGAAAAAGAAAAAGTAAGCAATTTCGACGCACCCAGCAAATGCTAACAAAATAAATTATCTTGCTACACGATGAGTTACCTCGACTTGTCGGCCTTTTCCTGCCACTTCATTCAACCGTCTTCTAACTGTCCTTTCACTTACGTTGACGTTACGGACTTTATCTAAACGCTTTCGGTGTAGTACTAGTAGAACTCACGGTGCCGTGGGAAAGAAACATCATTAAAGACCACGCTTTAACAAGAAACAAGTAAGTACTTGTTGCGCTCATCTCCACTGTATGCTGTGTTATCCCCTGTACCTAACCATATTTGATACTAGCCTAGCAATGCCGCTTTGGATATTCGTCAAAGTTGACTTAACCAGCGAAATAACTTAAAATCGTTGTGTTGTATACCGTGGAGCGGGTGCTAGGGGTATACCAGCTAAATCCCTCTATAACCTGCTTAAAGAAATTGGATTACCAAGAGCTTGAGTAAGCTGATTTCTTGAACGAATATCCAAAGCGGCATTGCTAGACTCGTATCAAATATGGTTAGGTAGAGGGGGTAACACAGCAGACAGTGGAGGTGAGCGCTGACGCGTCGCAAGGAATATTCTCTACACCTATGGATCCTGGGTCGCAAGTCCCAGGCGTTGTCGAAGTCGCATGTGTTGCCCCCGTCTATCAAGCGATGGACCCGGCACACGCACGGTGAATCCATGGAACGCTAAGAAATAGGTTTTTTTTTATTGGACGATAATTTCGTATAGCCTGCATGACCATCAAACAGTCATCTAAGGCGCTGGTTTTCCGATTTTTGCCTTGCCTTGTCTCCGCATGTACGATCCAGTCTCCACGATGCGATAAATATCGATATCGATACACCTAATGCGCGCCCTAGCTACAGAAGTTACACTTAAATACTTAAACAAAAACCACTTAATTTTTTTCATCTAACCTAACCTTTCTTGCGTTCCACTAAACATGTCAATATCTTTATGTTCAAAATACCCGAAGAAGGAAAAGCATTTTCTCTCTTAAATTAGACCTTCGTGGGTCGATTTTATTTTATCTAAGGCTGTAGGTACTGAACCGTTTCTCAGGAACTGACTACGATACTTGTTATTTTATTTCTGATTTAGATGTATACTGTTTATCGAAATGAAATAAATTTTTAGGGTGCTGGTTAGGCAAATGTTGACTAATAGTAATTTTCATTCCAGGGTCCATCTACATTGAAGGCCAAAAACTATTTAAAGGCATCATAATATCCGTAATATTATTTATAACATGTGCCAGCCTTTGTGTTGTGTCTGCTTGTATATACTGTTGCAAGATAAACTACTCGTGGGTATATTAAAATAATAAACTATGGGATGGGTGTGTGCGTGAATATCTAGTTGTATTTTTTTTTGTTGTTTTTAGGGATCGTAAGTTGAAACAAGAAGTTGAAGCATTAGCGAAAAAAATGCACAAGACAAATATTTTGAAAAAAGAGCATAAAAAGCCCATAGACGATCCAAAGGCTCAAAGCTGTAATATCATAATAGAAGAAGCTGGCGTCTTTGTAGTTTGAGTGTGATAGTTGTTTTATTTTAAATTTAAATATGTGTAAATTAAATTATTAAAAAAATGAATAAAAAAAAATGTACTAGAATACTAGACCTAAGTATTAGAAATAGTTGCCTTCAACCTATTTACGTTTTTATGATGAAGCGTAGGTACCATTTGCTAATTGAATGGTATCGGTATGGTAAGTTTTAATAAATTTGATGACATTAAAGTCATGACAGAAAACAGAGCACAAAATTAGTAAAAAAAATGGCTCTAATATAAACTATTAATATTACTTAAAATTTATCTGACATCCAAATCTAAAAGAAAACGCATAATAAAAATTAAAAGTATGTAAGTTAAAGTAATTTAAAAATATTTTTTTGTAGGCAAAATTCGCTCGTGTCCTAGTATAGTGTATACTAAGATTTACTAGTAAAACCTATGATGTGCCATTACACGGGCTTTTATAATAACATACATAAATCTGTAAAACTGTAATCGATTGGTACTTAATAAGAAATGAAATTGAAATCTCTTAAGAATCAGATAATTTAGTAATCGATTTCTTTGACCTGGCTTTACTTCAAACTGTCAGAACTGTCAAATGGTACCTCATAGATTAGATGAACTACAGAAATGAATTAGCTCGCGATGGCTTACAAGTAGTAATTTAAACCTACTATTTTTTGTATATTTTGACAGTAATTAATGACATATGATTTTTTTTTATGTTAGAGGGGGCAGACGAGCAGACGGATCACCAGATGGAAAGTTTCGGAGTTTACGTGTTTCTATTTATAATATGTATGTATTTACAAAAAAGTATATAAGTATTCTATCAGTCAATCTATCTTTCAGAGTACAAGCTCTGCTTAGTTTGAAACTAGATGGCGTTGTGTGACAGATATCCCAAATATTTTTATTATTATTATTTAAAATCAATAGTTAAAATACTTTATTAATACAGGTTACAGCGAACACTTATGAAACAATTGCAAGAACAAGACAACCTCGGCGTCGCAGTGGTAGTTTATGCGACTGCTGGGCTGAGGTCTCGGGTTTCGAATCCCGGGTCGGACCAAATGTTTGTATGATCTACAAATATTTGATTCGGAGTTTGGGTGTTCTCTATGTATAATATGTATGTATTTACAAAAAAAAGTATACAAGTATTCTATCAGTCAATCTAGCTTTCATAGTACAAGCTCTGCTTAGTTTGAAACTAGATTTCGTTATTATTATTATTATAATTTTAAAAAACCTGATAAATAAAAAAATAAAAACACTAAAACTCACAGGTAAATTTAAAATTTAAATAATAAGCTGTTACTAAACAAATAGTTCATTCACGTAACAATTAGATTTATACTAATTTAGAAATAAGTTTTATATTTACATAGTCGTAACACCCTTATTCCTAACATTATTTTTGAAAATATAGTTACCGGAGAGTAAGTATCTCTAGTAGTTGAAATTATCAGCAACTCTACAAAATGAGTTTATTGTACATTAGAATATTTTCATTAACATCAGGATCTTTCGGGAATCTAGAAATTAATTATAGTTATGTGATAATAAATAATAATATACGCTTCTTAAAAAGATAACATTTTATTTACATTTATCAGCATGCTAAACATTTATAGACTTTAATAACAAAAAATTAAATTCCTAAAGAAATTATTGTATAATTTGTATTAAGAATATTTTACCTGCACAAATCGTTTAGTTTTTTACGTTCGAAAATCTGAAAAATATCCTTTTATACTAACATCGATATACTTAAACCGTTTCATTCAAATGAATGGAACGGTTACTCGGCCAAATCAGCGCTTCCTACGCGCTACTTCCTGCGCTGAGTGTTGTGGGTCCGATCCCACCGTATTTCTATTTTATATAGGTAATTATGTGTACCTCGGGCAGACATTGCAGTTAGGTAGAAACAACTTCGAGGACGAGGTGAACAGAAGAATTCAGTTGGGTTGGACAGCGTTTGGGAAGCTACGTCGAGTCTTCTCATCGTCGATCCCACAGTGCCTTAAGACGAAAGTCTTCAATGCGTGCGTCCTACTCGTCATGACATACGAAGCCGAAACGTGGACACTTACGGTACGGCTGGTCCACAAGTTCAAAGTCACTCAACGTGCTATGGAAAGGCCTATGCTCGGCGTTTCTCTAAGGGATCGCATCAGGAATGAGGTGATCCGGCAGATAACCAAGGTCACCGACATAGCCTACCGGATCAGCAAGCTTAGGTGAGAGTGGGCTGGCCATATTAGCCGCAGAACCAACAACCTTTGGGGAGACCACGTCTCGGTAAACGTAGTGTAGGACTCCCACAGGCCAGGTTAAGTGACGATTTGCGCAAGATGGCTGGCAGGAGCTGGATGCCAGAAGCCTAAAATCGATCTAAGTGGCGTGCAATGGGAGAGGCCTATGTCCAGCAGTAGACTGCGATAGACTGATGATGATGATGATAGGGTATATTTATGTAGGTATTACATTACAAAAAGCTTATATATTATAAATATTTAATAGAAAAAAAAATAGTTTTACTCTCTTTACACTTTGAGATCATAATCATCAGTCTGATATTAAAAAAAAAAAAGAATCAATGTGGTAAAAAATCTTAGTCTCTTAAACTTAATTATAATAATATAGAAATTAATCAATGATAAAAAGAGAAATTGTACTAATTTGTTACAATCGAATACATTTGGGCTTGAGTGTCAACACCTGTTAGAGTTGCACTAACATCTCTTGTAGTCCTCAGTTTCAGTACCCTCAGGTTCTCCATCGCTATCACTAGTAACACCATCATCGTTTAGATATTTGGCCAATTTTGCTTCCATGAAGTTTCGGCCACCGTAAAGAATGTATTTTTAATCTAAAAGCGGATAAAAAGTAAATAAAAACAGAAAAAAAACTAAAACGCCGCTGTACACTAAACTTCAAAAAGTTACACAAAGACTAATCATGAGTCGTTTCGACTTAAGTACATTGTATTTACAAAATATTGATATTTACCTACTCAGCACTGTCGCTCTCGTAAACGTCTGGCTAGTGTCTGAGTTGACATAAAGAAACGCGATGATCTGCTCGCAAAAAATGCGTGCGGTGCAAGTCAAAATGACTCAGATTAGTATTTTACGGTTATTGCTGTGTTTCCTTAGAGAATAACACTGCTGGCCTAATTTTTAAGTTAAGTATAGTTTATCTAGTAGTATAGTTATAAGAGTTTTCTCGCATCTTGTATTCTTGCTTAGCTTGCACTTTTAAATTTTTCAAGGTTAGCACACCGTTTTAATTGTAATCATTTAAATTGTATTTTTTGTGAGTAAAGGTATAAATCACAGTTTACTATATTGTTATGTTTAAGAACGGCCATACTCAATCAAATTTTGTTCGCCCTGCCACTTTGACATTTCAAATGTCATTTCAATTGATATATTAAACGTCATAATCGTTTGTTTGTATTATTAAGCGATATTTCCTAACTGTGATTTTACAAAAATTAGAAGGAGCAAAATATGTCAAAGTAACCGTACAATATAAAGACGAGATGACTTAGAGATTTGAAAACCACATTATACAGATTCGTACTGCGTAAGTGTTTATGTGTTTTTCATTCAAACAATTAAATATACAGCGCATCTTATATCTAACTGAAAAATTGCTTGTATGATTGATTGCTGTCTCGTATAAATAAATTCTGTCTCGTATAGTCCTTTATACTAGTAGATTCTATATACAAACCACGATAAATTGCGACTCCGTTTCTGACGTACCTTTATGCGAGTATTATGTTAGTTCCCAATATTTTTAAATATATATTATATAAAAAGAAATACAAAGCAAAAAATCAAGTAGACCATAGCGGAGATCAGATTTAAGTGTTAAATCATTTAACTTGTAAAAAAATTCACCAGGTAAAAGAACTGCTCTAGCCATAAATATGGTTTGACAGTTTTTAAGTTTCTAACTGTAATAGTATGGCTTAGAATCATCATCGTCATCAACCATTACGCTGGCCAGACGAGTTGGTATAGGGTTTGTGTCAAGTTTTCCTTTTTGCAGTGCTGTTGTCCTGCATAGTTTGCTCCCTTAGTCAGCTCTCACTACCCATGGGATGAATAGGGGTGGTGACACTTCATATTCTTAATCCACCACCTCACAGACTTAGCTTAAAATAGAATTCTATAGAGTATAGTACATATTGTAGTCTTCAATATATAAATAGTATTTACCCAATTTCACATATTTATAGTTTTGAGCTTTAATCTTTGGTGACAATCCATATTATCATGTTTTTGGTGTATATAAAAATTTAATGTTACATTTACTATTGTTTAAATTTAAAATTATTTTTCAATTATGTATTAAAATATGCCTTGTATTGATAAAATTGCTCATTAAAGTACAAAATTATATTTTTTGTTTCAATAGTGAACGAGTGAGTGTTCTTTAATTAACTCTTGCCACCTCACATATTTTAGAGTTACACAACCAACCAATGTGGGCCGCCATGGTGACATGACTAACATTATTTCATACTGTTTGGTGAAACAAATATAAGTATGAGAAAATATTTAAAGACCAATTTTATTTTTAAACATAGATATTTCTATAATAAATATGCTTAGATAATTAAAACTATTTATTTTCTGCTTATTCATTTAAAATGAACTTACATTAATGGAATATGGTCTGATGATGATAAATCTGTCATTAGTGGCAGACTCACTTTCTAATTTTGATGTCCTAGGTTATAAAATTCGATTTCTGAATGAGATTCAATATTGCCTTTAATGCAATGTCCCTTTGGCACGTCTTCAATATTGCAGCAGTCTTTCTTTGGCAATTCCATACATACGCTAATTTCATATTTGTATCTGAATCATTCAGTTCTCAAGATTTTAGGTATGTTTAGACATTGTAAACCTGAAGTAGAAATAACCGAATTTCTTAAAAATCACGTAACAACCTCGGTCATCATGACTACAAGTAAAATATATCTAATATCTATAATTACTTTTAATACATAATAATATAATTACTTTTAAACACATGCCCGTTTCTGGGGGCAGAGAGCAAGGGAGGAAGGTACATAGACTCACAACCACAACACTCACATAATTTCGTTTTCATTCAAAAACTAAAAATCACTAGTCACTGTGACCGACGTTAGGTGGTTAAGGGTCAATAATGTTAATAAGTATTTATTCTCTTTTTTTTGTTATGAATCAATTTCATGACACGCAAGGGTGGCAATACTCTTGTGTGTCTTGTTACATATGTCCATTGGTAGTGGTAGTCACTTACCATCAGGTGAACCATTTCTTCATTTGATCCCTATACCATAAAAACAACATAGGTATTATTTTTTGGAAGAATGTCATATTCAATAAAATTAATATTTCAGATGTCTGAGTTCTGACACAACGCCATCTAAATTCAAACTAAGTTGAGCTTGTACTATGAAAGCTAGATTGACTGATAAGATACTTATATACTTTTTACATACGTAACGTAACGTAACGTACGTACGTAAATACATACTCGTACATACATTCAGTCAAAAAAGTATCGGGAATGGATGATTTGTTTATGGTTCCAAATTCAAATTTTTGTTTTTTTTTGTTGTTAGATTGGCACAACTGTTTTCCATTTTGGCGCGGAGTTTGAGTTGCATCTGTTATTTATATTAAATACAGTGCTGTTTTTAGTTATATCATATCTAGTGTGTATTGCGAATTTCATAATGGACAAAAACATCGAACAAAGAGTTTGTCTTAAATTTTGCATCGCCAATGGAATGAATGGAGTCACTGAAAATGTTACAGAAAGCTTACGGTTGATCGATTTCAAAAACACGTGCTTATGAGTGGTATAAAGCGTTCAAAAGCGGTCGTGTTGTGATGGAAGATTTGCCTCGCTCTGGTAGGCCATCAACGTCTGCAACTAAAGTCAACATCGCAAAAGTCAAGGAAATAGTGACTGAAAATCCTCATTCAACTTCACCAGTCGATCCATACCATTTTAACTAATCATTTGGGTATGAAACATGTTACCGTTCAGCTAGTAAAAAAGACCTGAATTTTTTCTCCAAAAAGTCAATCGCATGAGAGTCGCTGAACACATGCTAGAACGAGTCAATTCCGATCCAACATTCATGAAACGCATTGTTACTGGTGATGAGACGTGGGTTTACGAGTTTGACATGCAAACTAGTCAACAAGCTTCGAAGTGGCGCCTTCCAACTGAACCGAAACCGAAAAAAAACACGCCAAAGTCGATCAAAAGTCAAAGTCATGTTGACGGTTTTCTTTGATTATCGCGGTGTTGTGCACTCGGAATTCTTGCCGGAAGGTCAAACGGTAAATAAAGAATATTATTTGAGCGTTATGCGGCATATAAGAGAGCAAATTCGACGAAAAAAGGCCAGATTTGTGGAAAGAAAATTCTTGGATTTTGCACCACGATAATGCGCCTTCGCACAAGGCCATAACTGTGAATGAATTTTTGATAAAACACTCAACAAATACCATCGAGCAATCACCATATTCACCAGATATGGCTCCAGCCGACTTCTTTCTTTTTCCTAAACTTAAATTACCACTTCGTGGCACCCGTTTTCAATCGGTAGAAGACGTAAAGGACGATTCGCGGCGTGGACTGAACTCAATTCCGGAAACAGCGTTTAAAAAATGTTTTGATGATTGGATTATTCGTTTCTGAAGGAGCATACTTTGGAGGTGATAAAATAAATTTGGATGAATAACAAACATTTTGTGTTATTGATCTTTTCCCGGTACTTTCTTGACAGAGTAGTATTATACATAGAAAGCGACTTCGAAATAACTATTCGCAGATCATACAAACATTTGATACGACCCGGGAATCGAACCCGAGACCTCAGCACAGCAGTCTCGTACGCTACCACTGAACCACCGAAAAATATGACTCTATGAAAATTTTGTGGGTTTCTATAAGATTAAATATTTCTTTTTCAGGATACAGAAAGTAATGTATACATTGTAATCATGATAGGCAGTCCATTGATTGAATTTATCTTCACCACCGTGTCACTAATAGTGGCGATGATGTTGGCTGCCATTTTTTGTTGCATCTACATCAGACTCAGGTTAGTACTGCTCTCAGATATTTTTCTTTTTGGTTAACGTCTTTTGGCTGACTGACTGAATGACCCCCATAACAAAACATTTACAGTTTTAGTAGATTGAGTGCACTAGTAAGGTCATGATTTGGAAAGGTTTACAAAATATAAAATAAAGGTTCAATAACAGGTACTAGCATGGTTGGGACTCCTTATACGGTAATCTGCGAACAAACGTGTGGGTTATATTTTTGCTAAATTTTATAATTTAAGATTTACTGTTATTTGTTCTTAATAAATAAAATAAAAAGTACATAGCAAAAATAAAAAAATAAGTACATAGCAAAAGATTGAGGAGAATTTCATAACGCTGTAACATGTATACCTCTGTTTGTACCTTTTGCAAAATAAACTTTAAAAAAGTATCACTGAATTCAATGTCGATATAGTGTTGTATTTTAATAAATTGGCGGATGGCTGGCTGGTAGTGGTTTAAGCGGTCACCAGGCCGTTTCCGGTTTGACTCTCACTTGAGACGACACTTTCTGTGATCCACAAATTGTTGTTCTGAGTCTGGGTGTGTTCTTTGTGTCCGTTTCATGTATGTTTATAAAGTCCCCGCGACACAGGATATATTCCTAATGCAAGGTGGTCTTTTGAAATAAATAAAAAAAACCATGCCATATCCATAATTTTTCAATATCCATTATTTTTACCCTTAGGGGTGAAACTTTTTCTTCGAATTTAATTGAGACCAAATAATAAAATAATTGTCTCTCAAGCCTTTCAAGTAATAAGAGGGCGCTAGTTGCCATGTTAACATCGGCTCCTAATTAAAAATTATATTAAAATACTTAGTCAGTGAGATATGGTGCGTAAATGTTAAATATCAGTGACTTAACATTCAAAAATCACCGTCTATTGTTAGTGAGCATATATATACAGTGCAAAAACAAAAATAAGTGAAAAATAATTTTGTCAATAAAAACAGTGTAACTGACTAAACAGTGAATTTAAAAGCTGAAAACATATATATAATAGCATAGCAGAAACATCTCACGAAACCACAGAAACTTTTACAGTGGAAATACTAAACAAACTCTCTAAAACTAATTAACGCGTAAGAGTGAAAAAAAAGTCTGTTATCTTATTTGAATTTCTACCACAGAAATGACAACAATTCATGCAAACAGAGCCATCTATGACATAGATGCCGAACTACTACACTCCATCCTTAACAAATAAACCACCAGCACAACTGCGTAAATAATACCTATTTACGCCACTAGAGGGATCTGCAATTACCAATATTCATAAACAAAACCTAGTACGACAAATATTTATCATCCACTATGCCTCAATGCGAAGGATGTAAATGTAATACTGGTAATTCAGAGTTCTTAAAATGCGCCTACTGCAATAAATATTACGATCTGCAATGCGCAAACATCCCTAAATACCACTTTAATAATACTATGTCAAATGAGCAAAAAAATATATGGAAATGCCAAGCTTGCATATGCAATATGCCAAAGGGAGACAATTCTAACACCCCAATAAAACCATACATACAACAACACATCTGCGATGATTCTATGAACGTTACAATAAGGCGAAGACCCACTCAGATTACACAAAACTACAACAATGAAAATGATCAAACTTTAGACGACATAATTGGGAATACAATGAACCTAACTTCGGACAGTATTGTATTAGCTCTAAACGGCCCCGAATCCTTAAAAACTGAAGATTTAATGCTAGAAAAATTCAGCAAACTTTTAGATTCCAAACTCGAAAAAATGAAAATATCTCTTCTCGAAGATGTTAAAATTACGATTCAGACAGAAATGGACACTGCTTTATTAAAACTTCGAAACCAAGTAGAAAATACCACGACAACCCTAATAATAGAACAAGATAAAATAAAAGAAAAAATTTACTCAATTGACAAAAACATAGAACATATAGAACACCAATTACACCTTTTAAAAAATTCAAGAAAAATAGTACTTTATGGGCTGGCTGAACCGCACCACGAAACGGAACACACCCTTATAGACCGTATCTCTAGAGCCTTTCATGACATAATGAATGTTAACATTGATCCATACATAGAAGAGATAAGGCGTATTGGAAAGCGAGGAGGCCATAGACCCTTAGCTATAGAATTAACAAATAAGAGAATAACAAGATACGTGATGGAAAACTCTAACTGTTTTCGGAACTCAGGACTGGCTGTTGAGATGTTCATGGATAGAAAAACATTAATGAATCGCAACGAACTCTGGGAAAACCTGAGAATAGCTAGACAAAATGGTAACCATGCTATAATTAAAAATAACAAACTGTATATAAATGGTAAAGAGTACAAAAAAAGTTCCCCACAAACCACAGAAACGTCCCAGTCCCAGATACCAAATACCGAAAACAATAACTGCAGAACGAGTTTAGATAGCAACAACACTACAACCAACAAAATACAAACACCATCGCAGCCTCAGCCAGCAGCGCCAATGTCAACACAAGGGAAAACCACTCGTAACTATAATTTTCGATACTGAACTAAATGTTATCTTTCAGAATATACAAAGTATAGGCAATAAACTTCATCTAGTCGAGCACTTCCTACAAGACTTAAACATAGATATATTGCTATTGTCAGAAGTATGGAAAAATAAGAACTATTGTGATATGATTTCGTTGTCTGGATACAGAATGGCTTCCACCTTTTGTCGTAAAACGCATGAAGGGGGAGGTGTTTGTGCAATTATTAAGGATAGTTTAGAATATCTTGAGTGTCAAGATATAAACAATTATACTATAGAATTTATAATAGAATTTAGTGCCGTAGAAATACCGAAATTAAATTGTATTTTCATTGGTTTATACAGAGCAGACCGACACATTAATACATTTTTTGAACAGCTAGAGAAAGTGTTACATAAATTAAACACCAAATACAAAAATAAATATATTATATTGGGAGGTGACTTCAATATAAACATTTTGAACAAAAATAAACAGACGGAGAATCTTATCAACTTAATGTTTTCAAACAATCTCAAACAGATTATCAGAGAACCAACACGTGTATCAAAAGGCTCCTCAACCTGCATCGATCTACTCTTCACTAACTACATGCCCATTATTAATAAAGCCAGCGTCCAAGATTATGGTCTCTCTGATCATAAGGGTATTACACTAAAAATAAAATCGAAACACTCTTATCCTAATAATAACACAACCTGGTACTTACAGAAAAGACTATTCACAGAAAGGAACATATTACATTTTAACACTTCATTAAATGACATAAAATGGCACGAAATAATCAACACACACAACAATTTAAACACCAATTACGATTTATTTCTCAATATATAGACTAAATTACTTAATACACATATACCGATAAAAAAGCTGAAAATAAGTAATAAACCAAAAAAAGAATGGCTCACTACCGGCCTTAGGAAATCATGTGCACACAAAAGAAAATTAAGGGCCTTTCTGAATGTGAATGATAATGATATTATACATAAGTTTTATAAAAAGTATAGCCAAACCCTAAAGCGTAGTGTAAACATATAAAAAAAACTTGATTTTTGTAAACAAATGGAAAACTCCGATAATAAAACAAAAACAATGTGGAATATCATAAATCAAAAAACAGGTAAACAAAAAAAAAGACTCCCTCCACAAAATATATCATTAAAAATTAACAACCACATTGTAACATGTCCAACAACTATTTGCAACAATTTCAGTGAGTATTTTGCTACTGTGGGTATGGGCACGAATAACAATAAAACCAACAAAAACAGGGCGCTGGGTCGACCCGTCATAAACTCACAAATGTGCTCCATGTACTTGCGTCCTGTAGATAGAAAAGAAATAATCGACATAATACGCTCAATTAAAAATACACACAGCTGTGGCATAGATGAAATCCCCCCAATTCTATTGAAACAGTGTGCAGAAAAACTGTCAATACCGCTCACATTTTTAGTTAATCAAAGCCTTCAAGATGGCCAATTTCCAGACCCCCTAAAGATATCAATAATCAAACCGATACACAAAAAAGGCGACACCTACACACCTAGTCATTATAGGCCTATTGCTCTGTTACCCACATTTTCGAAAGTATTTGAAAAAACAATGTGTAACAGATTATACGATTTTTTAGAAAAATATAACATTCTCGATGATAGTCAAAATGGATTTAGAAAATCAAGATCAACTACACTAGCAGTATATAAGTATATCCAGACTACCATAAAACATATAAATGACAAAAAACATGTACTCGGAGTATTACTTGACATGACGAAAGCCTATGACAAAGTATTGTACGACATTCTTTTGAATAAACTAAGCGGTTCTGGTATTCGCGGCCCAGCTTACACATGGTTTCGATCATATTTAGAAAATAGATCACAAATGGTCCAAATTGACCATTTCGACCCCAATACGAATGAGGTTAAAATAGTCCGGTCTGAAAAAAGGAACATAAAGTGTTCAATCCCGCAGGGCAGCGTGTTGGGTTGTGTGCTATTTCTGATATACATCAACGACTTACCAAAAGTACTAAACAAGGAACATACATTACCTGTCCTATTTGCTGATGATATATCAATACTAATTACTTATGACAAAACCACAAAGCCGACACCACTACTTCAGGAAACTCTAGATACAGTAAATAACTGGCTCAACGACCATAACTTAGAAATTAACTATAACAAAACAAAAACTATCCAATTTAGAACATACAGAAACAGCCCCGTAAACATCGACACAACATACAATGGCACACAACTAGAAACTGTAGATACATTCAAATTACTTGGTATAACTATAGACACACACATCAACTGGAAAGCACACATCGAACATACAAAAAATAAACTGTCTCGATTTACATATGCTCTATTCCAACTTAAATGCAGCACAAACGAAAAAACCGCACTGTCAGCATACTACGCATACGCATACTCCTGGTTACCATACGGCATTATGTTGTGGGGAAACAGTGTACACTTTCAGGATTTATTTATATTACAAAAGAAATGTATTAGAATTATCGGACAAATTGGAAATCGTGATAGTTGTAGGCCCTTCTTCATTAAATATAACATCCTCACACTACCATCATTATACATATTTGACATCTGCATATTTGTATCCAAGAACATGAGTCACTTCGCGAGAGTAAAAGACAATCACAATTTAAACACACGCCACAGAGACAGACTATACCTACCACCATCAAGAATTAAAATGCTACACCAGAGCCCTGACTACATGGCTGTAAAAATATACAACAAATTACCTATCCACATAAAAAATGAAACGAAGACTACACTATTCATTAAAAAACTAAAAGCATTCTTAATTACAAAATGTTTCTATTCTGTTAAAGAATACATTGAGGAAAAAAACACTTCTTATTACACGGAAAACAGAAATCATATACCTAAGTACAAATCATACAAAGAAAAATCGGTCGTGATGCACGGAAATGCTAGGGACAGTAGGAAAATGTGTATATGTATTAGTGATGTGGAACGTCGGGTGCCTTCGTATTTTTGCATGCTTTGTTCGATTGTTATACTGTACTATTTGAGTCACTTAATTTGTATTGTTCAAAAAATGCTTGTACTTGTGTAACAATTTATTCTTCTGCGTTCTCTCTCAAATTTTTGCAATGCCTGGAAAAGGCTTCTAAGTTGGGACTACTACATATAATTATATAAGATCATTGATGTACACTTGGTTGGCAAATAAAGATTTGATTTGATTTGATTTGATTTGATTAAAATAATTGTTCAAATATCGATCGACTTCAATTTGTTTTTTTTTCACAATATCAATCACAATGCTTAGAATTGTCATTAAAAAAAAAAAACACAATTGAACTCGATAAAAAATTACGCGATATTACGTAATTCTTAAATCTTTACTTTCATATCATTTAAAATATTTTTATATTCAATTTCAGTGACACATGGTGGGCGAGAAGACAGAACCTTGCGTGTCAATGCCTTGGAAAAAACGTGCCCCGTAATTCGCATGAACCTACAGCGAAAGATGAATGTTGCACAATTTTTGTTCCAGATGTAGCTATAGTATTATAAAACAAAAAAAAAAAACAAATATTCTAAAACCAAAGTTTTTGGCCAAATGCTGATGCGTGTTGCCATATATATTTTAAGTTGATTTTAGGCTATTATCTACAAACAAATATTAATAGTTATTGTTTCCAACAGGAATAATTTATGTTCCTTTTTATGGAGTTCTTTAATACCTAAAGTTAGTAGGGCGTAATATGACAATGTAAATGTACATGGTTTAATGAAACGCTTATATGGACAGATAACACCAGATATAAGCAAAACTCGAGGTGTTATTTCGTTTATGTTGTTTGGTATTTTTATAGAAAAAATATTCTTTCTATGTAAATACTTTGCAATTCCTGATTATGCAAACTAGTGTGCTGCAATCAAGGTCATAATAATAGACCAACTGTTTTGAAGACATAGATCAATAAGCTTTTGAATTTTGTATTTATTGTTCTGACTGACTTTTTAGCTGCCTCAAATGTTGCGGTGCTCTACAGATTTTTAATGAGCGATTAACGAAATAGGCCTTATTTATATAATTACTGGAAGAATTATAAGACCATGAAACACGTCGGTATAAACTATATAATTTCAACTATGAATACAATTTCATGTCTTTGTCAAATAAAAAATAATAATAAGATATTTTGAAATATAAATATTTGTAAGGTCGACCTTTTTGGTGTCTAGATGGTTTGACCGATTTGCACTGATCGTGGTCAGGGGTGGACGTATATATTTTATTATATTATTTAGTATTTTTTTTTCGTTAGTTTTAAATCCTGATAGGAAAATAACTTCAGTGTAGCCTACCCTGGTTAAAAACACATTATCAAAAGGCACATAATTTTTATAAGAAGTAATTAAAAAGCGCACAAAACATTTTATAATAAAAATGAATGATTCATAGCCATAAATCGAAGTTTTTGAGAGCTCTGTCTCTAACTAAGCCTCCTTTAGAAGTTTCTTTTAGGCAACTTGATTCTCGGTAAAACTTTTGTTATGAGATCAACTCTAAAATACTATGAGTATTTCTTATTGGCTAACTTGTAGTGGTTGAACTGTTCGTATTGACTAATTGCTCTTGGTTATTTAAAATATATTATTATAGCTGTAAGAGCTGTGGATGGTGCAATTACATTCTTCTTTTTACAACAAATTAATCTTTATGTAAAACTAACATACATTTAGTATAATGTTCATTTTACAACGGCTAGCACAGTGAGATAACAAGTGATTAATGTTTATGTGATGAGAGTTCTAACTTTAAAACTATTATTAGGTCTGCAATGTGAATCTTAAAAAAAGCCGAGTATTGTTAAATTTAGACAATTAAAAAAAAACAGTCATTTTTTTATGTTTAGTATATCTTACTCCAATGAGTGTAAATAATTATGTTTTATTTTATCAAAATATTTCCATATAAAATGAACTACTCGATTTTTTATTTTTAAATGTATCTTTTAAAATGGTATTACATTTAGTGGGCTTTTTCTAGTTCAACAACTTAACTTATTAATTCAAATACACATATTTTACTAAAAGCAATATGCTCATTGTGAGCTCTACTGTCTGTGAATATTAAATATGTTAAGAAATAATGAGTACGCATTCATGCTAATATATATATAAAATATGTTATATATAATATAACATATTTCAGTATAATGAAAAGTTTGTATGTGACTAGAAATCAAAACTTTTGATGTCCAGTTCTAAAACAAGCTAAGAAGGGGTTAGCAGTTCCTACATATATATCTAGTAAGTACCCTATAAAACTACAGTTCTAATATGCTATTTTGTGCCCTAGCCACAGTGATTTAGTAATTCAATGCTTTCTAAAAATGAAGTTCTAGAATTCATTAGTGTTCAACAATATATTTGCATAATGTTTTTTATCATAAATAATGAATTTTATTGTATATGCATTCTGTAGCTTTAACTTATGAGTAGAATTTTAACATATTCTTAAATTCGTATTTATAAAAAAACCTAAAACTAAATGAAATTATTTTCCATGAAATAAATCTATTTGCATATTTTATGAAGAATAGGGATAGCTTATATTATTTTCTTCCGAGAAGAATTTCTGTGATAACATTTTTTTCTACATTGCATATAATAAATGTATAGAATTAAAATTTATGTAACATGTTAAATTTTTTTTTTCAAATACTCTGGAATCCGTTCAAAATATGTTAATTTACAACCACAGGAATCTTTAGTTTCAGTTTATTCTTTAAGCTCCACTGTTAATAATCTAATCCTTTTTCAATGATAGAATCCAACAAGTGCCATGATACCTTAAAATAAATTATAATCTATTATTAATAATTATATTCAATGAAAGTTTTTTAGTAGTTGTGCTGTAGATGTACTGTTTAGCATATACTTAACGTTATTGTATATTATTGTTTATTTATTTTTTGGCGTTACACACGCTTTTTTGTAAAAAGGAACGAAAATGTGTAACAATAAGTCGCGACAGCGCGCGCTATTTGATTTGACCAATAAGCACGCGCTATTTCATTTGACCAATAAGCACGCGGTATTTCATATGACCAATAAGCACTCGCTATTTGATTTTATCAATAATCGCGTGCTATTTGCTTAGGCCAATAAGCACGAGGGTGCTAGATTTTGGCCGTTAGATGTTAATGTTACACATTATTGCGACTATTGTAAGAATCGTTCGTTAATTTATTTGTGTGATATATATATATATATCTATCTATATATGGTGTGTCTATTATAGATAATGTTCATAACGCTATAAAGTGAATGTAATTATATTCTAAAGATAGGAATGCCTTCTTTATGTAAGGAAATGGTTATGTTGGAGGTATTGGTTGGAATGGAAATATATTCTAAATTATGTGTGCATTAAGGCTCTTTAGGCCTATGTTCGTTGCCTATTAAATTTATTAACTTACTGTGATCACATTGGAAAACTTTTTGACATACAATTTATACTAAAACTATAATTGTAAGTCCATCGGATATTTTTTTTTTACATTAAAGTCAATATTAGTCACTGGGCTCATAGAAATAACCTTATAATTCATAACTGTAGATAAGGATTTTGTTATGAATTTCACCTTAATATTTTTAATATTCCATATTAAAATATAAAAGAATAGTTGTAATAATCTGTCAAAATTTACGTTACATCCGTGAACATCGAAGTTTTATTTTATAAAACAACGAGTTGGTTTTACGTCAATTTTGACAGCTTTTCTGTCAAAATTTATATAACGTCAATAAAAAAAAATGACGAAGTGATAATTTATAAAACAAAACTCACTACTTTATTACATGACCTAGAACTGAAGTAAATAATCCGTTAGACAATAGGTTTATGAAGTTTTATAGATTTTGCTTAGTTAACTAAAGAACGTTAAAAATTAAAATTCATTACAAAAATCACATTTAGAAAACCCGACTAAAAAAAAGTGAAGTTTGTACTTTAGAACTACGTTATTAATAAACCGATTTATTTATTTTTTTATTTAAAAGGGTTTACCGGTTGGTCCTATTCAAATTAAAATAATTAATTGCACCCCCAAGGGTGAAAACTAAGGAATGATGTAATCATCATTCCTTAGTTTTCACCCTTGGGGGTGCAATTTTGCAAGTTCATTATTCATCACATTAAGTCGCATTGAAGTCGGTGATATTTTTTAAAAGTTAATTATTTATTTAGAACAAACGATTAGCTACTTAAGCAAGTTGCAGTGTTACAATAGTAAGAAACAGTGTTTAGTGTGGTGATTTCCATATATTATGAAATAAAAACATACTTTAGTGCCATGCCATCTAACGAAGACACGCTGAACTACGGAGTAACTGCTATAAAAATATATCCTTTCTCGCGATATGAAAACTTCCCAACATCAAATGTTGGGCCGCGGCCCGCCAGGCATGATCACCTCGCCTGGTCGGAGGATCCTGCCCTTGTGTTGCAGGGACATGACATCCTTTTCTCCACATTTAGTATTGTTATGGATTATGTAATACTGCATCTGCACTTAGTCTCACTGTTAGGAAACTCATAATAATATTTTATACGGCGATAATTCGCATTTCTATAGAGAACCGTAAAATTCATAAGAAGGTAAATTTCTAGTTAAGTAAGCAAAATCTAGGAATACATCGGCAATAATTTGATATACCTAACTTAATAATATTCTAGCGTTTTTCGATTTCTAGTGAATATGTATATCTAAACACAAATATTTGATAGCTTAGAACATTAGAAGTATTTGACCATTTCACTCTCGATGACAAACGACATGTTTCACAAAAAAAACAGATTATGTAGTTTTGTAATTATTGAAACATTGAGAGATATCTGCTATTTTGTACAATATAATAGTATTACGTTAATAGAATAAATAGAAATCGTGCCATAGTACAGTCTGCCTATTTTTACACGGCTGCTATACGGATAAGTTTACCTAATGATAACTGTAAACATCTGAATGAACTTGAATTTTTGATCTCAAATATAAATGTGAGTGGTCATATTAAATAAATAAAGATTTATTAAATTATACTACAATTAACTCATTCGTATTATTTAGTTGTAATATTAGTTGGAATTATTAATTATAAATGTATAGTTTTCAGATTTTTTCCTGTACTTGATGTTACTTGCCAAATTTCATAGTTCTAGTTCGACGGGAACTCTATAAAAACAAATTCCTATGAGTGTCGAAATATGTATTTTTTGCGTTAATTTAGAAGGTTGATTGTTTTACATCTTCAAGGGACTGTAGACCGACCGTTATATGGTTTGAATTTCAATTTGATACCTACACACGTTCCCGAGATAAAGGGCGTGACAGATAGACGGACAACAAAGTGATCCTATAAGGGTTTTCCTTTTGAGGTACGGAACTGTAAAAAGCTTCTGCATAGTTGCAAGTAGTAGAGTAGGCCAGGCCAATATTTTGACCGTACTTTGTTTGGGATTGTTACTGACTAGTTCATTGCTTCAATTAATTATAGGTACT